GGGCTTGCTGTGCGTCCGAATTGTGGGCGGTTCGGGGAGCCCATAGATAGACACTTGCCGCCTGCGAGTTCTGGTGAACCCATCATCGGCCGCCAGATTCACTAGGGGTTTCTCGCCGCGGGGTCCAGATCCCGAATTATGGGAAACCCATCGGCGGCCAGAAACCCCTAGGGAATCTGGCCGCCGATGAGTTTCCCATGATTCGCGGCGGCGGGCGGGGTCCAGATCCCGAAATATGGAAAACCCATCCGCCGCCAGATTCCCGAGGGGTTTCTGGCCGCCGATGGGTTTCCCATAGTTCGCGGCGGCGACTGGGGCCCAGATACCGAATGATGGGAAACCCATCGGCCGCCATATTCCCTGGAGGTTTCTGGCCGCCGATGGGTTTCCATTATGCGCGGGGGCAATTTTGGGAAACCCATAGGTCGCCAGAAACTTCTAGGGAATATGCAGACCTACGGGTTTCGCATAATTCGCGGGGGTGAGCCGGATCCAGATCCCGAAGTATGGGAAACCCATCGGCCGCCAGAAACCCCCAGGGAATCTGGCGGCCGATTGGGTTTACATAACTCGCGGGGGCAATTCCGTGAAGCCCACAGGTCGCCAGATTCCCCAGGGAATCTACCGACTTATGGGTTCCCATAATTCGCGGCGGCGAGTGTGGTCCAGATCCCAAATGATGGGACACCCATCGGTTGTTAGAAACCCCTAGGGAATCTGGCGACCGATGGGTTCCCCCTACTTCCAGGAAGAGCTTGTTTGAGGTCGTGGGGGTCGCATCTGACGCCTTGAGGCCTCAGGTTTCCCATACTTCGCCGATTTGCAATTTATCAAATTATGGGAAGCTCATCGACGGACACCAGCCGTGCCGACATGGGTGTGGCGCACGCGTGTGGACGGTGCAACTGGGACTTTCGGTGGAGCTCCCTATGAGGCCACGAAGCGTGTGAGGGGGGTGCCGAAATTGGTGTGGCGGGCGCATGTGGACGGGGGCGCTGGGGCTTTGGGTGGAGCTCGCTATGGGGCCACGGAACGTGTGAAAGATGTGCCGAAATATGTGTGTATCGGGCTCATGTGGACGGTGGCGCTGGAACCTTCGGTGAAGCCCCCATACGAGGCCACGACGCGTGTGAGGGGTGTGCCGAGATACGCGTGGCGGACGCATGTGAATTGGACGGTGCCATTAGGGCCTTGGGTGGAGCCCCCTTTATGGGGGCACGAAACGTCGAGGGGTGTATCGAAATGGGTGTGGTGGACGCATGTGGACGGTGGCACTGGGGCCTACGGTGGAGCTCCGTATGGCACTATGCGGCCACGAAGCGCGTGAGGTGTGTGTGTGTGTGTCTAAATGGCCTCCTCCTCCTCCTCCTCCTCCTCCTCCTTCTGTTTCTCATTATTCTCGATGCTTGTCGAACGCCCCCCTGGCCACTTCCATTGGGGCCACACGAAGGAGGGGGGACGAGGAGGGGTAGGAGGAGGAGGAGGAAGAGGAGGAGGAGGAGGAGGAATTACTCCGACGGATGGACCCCGCATGAGAATCCTCTGGGCGAATCTGGAAAAAGCCCTCACCGTCGTCCTCTGGAAAAAGCCCTCACCGTCGTCCTCGTGGTTGGTGAGGCGTCCTGGCTGTCTCTTCTGCGCATATTTCTTCTCGCCCTGGCGCGGGCCCTCCCCCCGCTCCCTACGTTGCCCCCGACCTCGCCCTCCTGTTTTGGCTCCGGACATTCAGAAAGTGGCCCGGGAGTGGTGTTCTGGGAACACGAAGAACACGAAGTGGCCTACAGTTGGCTCCGGGCATTCAAAATGTGGCCCGGGAATGGTGTTCTGGGAGCACGAAGAACACGAAGTGGCCTACAGTTGGCTCCGGGCATTCAAAATGTGGCCTGGGAATGGCGTTCTGGCAGCGCGAGAGCCCAAAAGTGGCGACAGTTAAAGGATCCCGATGACCCGCTCGGATTAGTAACATGATCCGCGGGCCCCATAGGGTGGGGGCTCCCGCTTGAGACTTCCTCGCAATTCACTCACAGATGTGGCCTGGGAATGGCGTTCTGGCAGCGCGAGAGCCCAAAAGTGGCGACAGTCACAGGATCCCGATGACCCGCTCGGATTAGTAGCATGATCCGCGGGCCCCATAGGGAGGGGGCTCCCGCTTGAGACTTCCTCGCAATTCACTCACAGATGTGGCCTGGGAATGGCGTTCTGGAGGCGCGAGAGCCCAAAAGTTGCGACAGTTACAGGAATCGGATGACCCGCTCGGATTAGTAGCATGATCCGCGGGCCCCATAGGGAGGGGGCTCCCGCTAGAGACTTCCTCGCAATTCACTCACAGACGAGGCCCAAGGCGAGTGAGTGAGTGAGTGACTGACTGACTGACTGGTGATGATGATGATGATGATGAACATCATCACACTCTCTCACGCGCACACTCATCATCATCATATGTGAGTACTGATGAGTGAGTGAGTGAGTGAGTGAGTGAGTGAGTGAGTGAGTGAGTGAG